GTCACTGGGCTTCCTGTAGCTGAAGACACAGAATCCCACGACCATTGTCTGTATCCCTTTGTAAAAGCCTCAGTTTCCCCCTCCTTCAGGTGTGCAATATCTGCAATGTCCAACTGTAACAGCATTTGTGTCTAATGCCTTTGTTTTCCTTTGCTCAGACTCTCTGATAGTCCTTCCCTCAGTACAGACAGGTCTGGAAGCCTTTCAGAATAAACAGGCATCTTAGCAGACACTTTAAGATGTGGGCATTACGCAATGCCATTTTCTGCCAAGCAACTTTCTTCACAGTGTGTAAGGTTGATTTGCAATTTGATATTTTGACATTAAATACCTTTTGAAAATGGAAAGACAGCACAGCCTTAGCCCAAATCTTCTACCAGCATATGTGACACTAAGACTAGGTCTTCCATTTAAGTATTTTCTTGATTTCTATCCTAATGTTTAACTTTTAAATATTATCTTGAAACAGTTTATTGTGATGAAGAAGAATTTGTATGGATGATAAAGAAAGCCTGTTTTTCAGACTATCGCTTTCCTTCCCTTTAGCTTTGTTAAAAAATTGGAATAGGGGCCCTCCCTGGTGGCGCAGGGGGTTAAAGCACAGCGCTAAGAAGCTAAAGCCACTGCAGCATGAGTTCAATCCCCACCTGCCCCAGAGGTGACCCACATGGCGCAGCAGACCTCTCCTGACCTGCCCGCTGCTCCCCTCAGCAGTGTACTTCATCGATCTGCCTGTTCTGCTCCCCACTTTGTCTCTGGTGAATCCTCTCACCGCCCCTGCACCTCTGGCCTGTGCCCCAGTTCTGTATGAATAAATAAATAAATCTTTAAAAATATATATATTGGAGTGTACTCATCTATGAAGACTCCAGTAAGTTGTTTACTTTTATTTTGCAAGTATTGAACACAGAGAGAAATGAGCCCTAGGCAAGGGGGTGGGGGGAGAGGGCTGGGACCAAAAGGCCCGAGGGTTATCAGAGAAGTTACGAGCAGGGTGCTTCCAGAGATGCACACCGCAAGCGATGCAAAGTGTTTGAAGTGACCTAAAGTCAGAATCCCAGCAGGACAAAGCAGCATTCAAAAGGCAACCACGCTTAATCTAAACTCTGGAGGCTAACATCTAAGGGCAGGAGGAATGGAACATAACAGAGGACAAAGGACTATTGACTTCCACAGCTCACAGCTTTCACAACAGGAGAGCGTCTTCCTCTTGTCACTAGAAAACTTAGATGTCCCGTGTCTGAGAAGAATCACAACAGAAAATGTCCCCGGTAATCCTGGAACCTTGGTTGAAAGTGTCACTGTTGTTCTTTGGGCTTTGTCCTGCTTGGAGCTGGCCCTTAGGCCAGGGGGGTACACCTCCCCCTGGTGCCTACAGCAATGAATGTTTTGGGGGGCAGGAGGATCTGTCACAGGAATTACAGCCCTGCTGGCCTCACCCCACCACCCCACCTGTGCCATGCCCCCCCCCATCCTTGCCCCTCAGTTCACCTTCATTTCTCTTGCCAAGAGCAATTATCTAAAGAGTGAAATAGCGCCAGAGGTGCACAAGGAGGAGAAATAATGCTTTATTGTTGGGTGAAGGGTAGCGATCTATCAAATCACCCCACAAATATGCACCAGAAATTCCTTTTCATGTAGTAATGATTTATCCAGATACAATCTATGCACTGAAAAGTACTCTGCAGTAATTCATCAACCTGCATTAACTGCTGCTTAAACCTGAATGTTGGTAAAAAGCATCCAAAACCCGAGACGTCATCTGGAGCACTGACCCAGCAGGGCCAGGCCAGGGTCCATGGGTAGCCCCAGGGTCCAGGTCCTATGGGGAGCACACCCCCCCACTTCATTCATCTCTCTCACTTGCCAGGCTCACCCCAGAACACCTCGCTCTGCCCCGTGACTTACTGATCTAATCGTAGGAGAGGCTTAGCAATTGCCTCCGCATGGTTGACAACATCAGGGAGAACTAACAAGGAAGGGAGGTTACTGAAATGCCCGAGCCACGCCTCCTTCCTTCCATCCCACCGAAGCATCTGAAAGGATTTGAAGGACTCATGGTCTTGGCAGTGATATGAAATTCCAAAGGCAGACATCCCAGCTGGGTGTTTGCTGCGTGGTCACATCCCAGTGTCATCTGATTTCGGATCAATGCCCACTGGGACACCTGTGCAGGTAGACACGCACCTGAGCCACATCAGCTGTCTCTGATGTCCCCGTGGAAATGATGTCATCTGATCAACCCATTCTCTTCCTTTAACGTCTGAGGCCTCCCGTGCCTAGTAAATCTTGAACTGTGGAGAAGGAGGCAGAAGCCAAAGGTTCTGCTTTTTATCCTAGCTTGCTTCTTTTTTTCTTGTGAGAAATTTATTACGAACAAAGGGCTCCATAGCAATTAATAATAGTCAGCATCATCCTAGTTCATCACCCTCCTCACACACATTAACGTGACCGTCCCTTTCGTGATTTATGTCCAAGTGGTCTTTCTGCCCTTCTCATCCCCAGTTCACCCCAGGAAGCTCACTGTCCAGTATATATTCTGTGTCTCCAAGACTCCCATTTATTTGTTTGTGTGTGTACTTTACTTTCCTGGACGGGTCTCCCTGCCCCTCCCCCCTGCCTGCCCCCCACCCCCAGCTTGATGGACTCCGCCAAGACTCAACTTCCCCAAGACTCCAACTTTGCCAAGTCTCCAACTTCGCTATGCGTCCAAGCACGGAGAGTCTTACTTCGTGCTTCCATAGAATTTTGTAATTATTTCTTCTTTTCACCTTTCATTTTCCGTTGTTTGAATTCGAAAACAATCCTTTATCTTTGAAAACTGAAGCAATTATCTTGGAATTCTAAAAACAGCATTCTTCAAGGAACACTGAAATCACTCAGTGAATGATGAATAAATACATGAAAAAAGGGAAATGGATCTACTAGTGTTAAAATTCAGACTGCATTTTCTTGCAAAGTCTGGAGGGAAACACAAAGATAAGTTAAGATGGGATAAGGTACATTTTAGCTCTCTATTTCCTTTTGCTTTTCGATGTGAACAGCTTCAGAAAGTTTCAGTGGAATTCTAGGTTTGCCTGAGAAAACTGCATAGAAAGAACATTTATTTTGTGCACTACACATAAAACAAGGGACGAGAGGCATGAGTGGCAACAATTACACCTGGCTTCTCAGGAGAAACGTGCTCACTGAGCAGCAGACATGAAGCGCGCATTGCATTTCAGAAACTAGACTGGGAACAGGAGCCTCACCTTGGTACACAGCTCGTCCATTCTTGCCTCCATCCTCAGCTCTAGTGTTAGCTATTTTGGTCCTTAACTTCCTTTGACAACTTAACTCTCCCGGGTCTCTACTCCCATGGGCCATGAGTGGTTTGGGTCTGAAAATGCCTCCCCACAGGCTCTCATCCAAAGTGGCTCAGACCGGGAGTGAGAAGGGTGTCCTTCAAATTTTAGCCTCAGGTTTGTGGGCTTGAGTGAATTCTACCACCGTGCACATTTTCCTTGCATCAAGTCTACAAATTATTCCACAGTAGATGAATCTTAGTAGGCTGGCCTGGGCCTCTGTAACAGATATGTTTTTCTGAGAAAAATATTTTTTAAAGTAACTTTTCATATAGATAAAATGGAAAAGTTGCAGGTGTAGTATAACTTTTACTCAGAGTAGTTACATTTTTCTCCATTGGTTCTATGTGCTTGTGCATGTACACAGACAAGTATACCTCAAAGTTTAATTTATACATTTTTAGAACAGAAATTATTACAAATATGGGGTCTACTTAATATTCTATAAATTGTATGCTGTTATCATGTTTAAATTATTATTTTCCTTATAATAAGGGTTCCCTTCCAGAAATTTAAAAAAAAATGTTTTTATTTTCCTTTCAAATGATTTCATTAACCTCATGTCATTGTGAGACTGTAACTATATTTTCCCAAGCCTATTTTATACCCCCAAATAACACTGGTTAAGACTTAGACATATTTAGTCCTTATAGTGGAGTATCATTTAATATGGAGAATTATTATAATATCTTTAACAGTAGCCGGAGGAAAGTAAAGAGTGATTAATTATGAGTTTTTATTCCTGGGCTACATTAGGGATTTAATTGAAAAAAGATAAGAAATTTAAACCAAGTTACTTCTTATAACCCCAGTGAGATTTCCATGCATTTAGGGATCTGGAAGTACTGATTTGAAAACTACCAAGTCCATCTTTTTCTTGCTTAGAAGTTGAGCTCTAATTTTTAAAATCCTTACCCCAAACAAAATTCTATACACTAACTAGTTCACCAGAGATCTTAAACTATCATTAAAGATAAAAGTTCAACCTCCAGAAAAATGCTTATGAATTTCCATAATGAAATCAAAATTTTCTTCATCAATACTAACATCCTATTTTTAAAATGCCATTGAAATATTTGAAAAAGAACTAAAAAAAAAATCACAGATGTGTACTTAAGACAAAAAACTCGATTCTTAGGATATATACACTCACCAAATGGTTCAATACCAATACTTTTAAAAAGAAATATCAGGAAAAAGAATGAGTCTTATTATCTGCTTCTGAATAAAGATGTTCTGATGTTCTGGGAATTGTACATGGCTCAGCATGGCAAAGGGGATGTCTGCTGACAAAAATGGCTCTCACTGCATGTGAAAGTGTGTGAGATTACATGAACACATATGTAGGTGTGGGGGTGTGGCTGTGTGTGCAAATGTTTTACTTCTGTGCTTCATGGTACATTTCTTAGATGCCTACTTTATGCCCATGTTGCTTCTGGTTCAATTGAATTGTAATGATACTATTATATTTTAATATAAGCTATTAACCTTTTTTATTCTAATGATTATGACACTAAAAAAAATTGATAAGAATTCAATTGCTAATATGAATAAAACAGCTTTTACCATGTGTAGAATAAAAGGATGTCAAACAAAAAGTAGTATTTATTGTCATGACATATGTTATGTTTGGTAGAATTATAAAATAATCTTTGATATTTACAGAGGAATTATTTTATACTCATATTGCATCTAACCCATAACTGCTTATTTTCTCTTAAAAAGTGCAACAGAAAAACTTAATCTATTTTTAAGGTTGTATGCTAACAGTTAAATGAGGAAGTATAATAAAATGCAGAGTGGAGAGGTTGAAAGAGCTGATCATATCAAAGACTGTAATTTCTACATGAAAAGCTTTTTATGGCAAGACTATCACAAATACAATTTCATAACCAAGGGATTCCAGCAGGCGTGAGACAGTGGCCACTCCATAGGGCCATGACTGCTGGTTTATATACAAGGTGCTAAACTTTGCAATAGAGAGTGAGTGATCATTATTTAACAGAAGTAGCCCCCAAAAGTCAAATTTTGAGGTTTCTTTCATTTTTTTTTCACTGAAGTACTAAAGTGAACATATCTTATCATGTTAAGTGGAAGAAAAAGTAGATTGTGACTGAGCTCCTGAAATTTTAATACTGCTCTTTAGCCATCTGCAAACCTAAAGTGCTTTTGGAAGTTCCACATAAGCTCAAGGAGTCAAGCCCCCAAAACTAATAATTAACTAAATGTTCTGCTAATCTATCCCGGATGCTTTGCCTAAAAAATTAGCATGGCCATCTTCAACATCTTTCTTTTGGAAACACAGTTTTGATGATGCTCCTTGGTGATAAGCTTCCAGAAAATGACAGATTCCAGGAATTTCACTGGGGAAGTTTGGTGGAAGTTCCTCCCTTGAGCGAGGAGTGAACACAAATCCTGGACAGTCTTTGAGTAATCTGGGAAGATTAAAATAAGAATGTTAATATTAAAATTTAATGATGACATAAATGTTTCTCTACTTAAGAAAATGTAACATAGTTAAATAAATGTTCTTAAGACTATTTTAAAAAAACGCTATTTTTGGTATGCTTGGCAAAAAGAAAAGTCTTTGCATAAAAAGTACAATGGAGAATCAATTTACAATAATAAGAAAATCCTACCAAATTAGGTATTTTCCTCATTAGGGAAAATGACTGAAATATTTTTGCAATGATACAAGCTATATAAACTATATAGTAGTAAAATTTCAGCAGTGTGAGGAAATCAAAATAGTCCAAAGTTTAATTATAGCCAAACAATACATAAAAATGTTACAGAATAAGGTTTTCTATGTTGGAAGAAATCACTCAGGTCCATTTATCAGTTCATAGTTCTGTAAATATTGATACCTGATCATGGTAAGGAATTATGAAAGAGAAATTCCATACAAGTGAAAAGAATGGATCATGGGTTTAAACTTTATTCTGGTTGTGCTGAGAAACTGGTGGAGCAGATTTAATGCACACAGGACAGATGTGACTTAGACTTTGCAAAGTCAAGCTGATCTGACTCGCGCATGCGTGGAGGAGGAGGTACAGGAAGAGAGGGCGGTATTATGCTGAGGAAGGAAAGAAAAGACTCAGCTTGGGTTGTGGTCTGGAAGGAGGTGAGAAAAGCTATATTCAGGACAGAATTTGTGGGCAGAGGAGATTGCCAAGAGGGAGAAAGGAATGATCACACCGAGGGTTATGATGTGATAATGGGCCGATAGCAGAAACATCTGAATGAGATTCTAGCAGAGACATCTTAATGAGATTTAGAAAACTTTCCCATGGGAAATGCACTGCAGAGTAGTGGGGTGGTGGTGGGGTGGTGGGGAGGACAATCACTTCTAATAAGAGCTAACGGAAATGCAAAGTGGGACATGAGTCTGAAGCTGGCTGAAGAATAAGAGGAGAGATTAGAGGCAAAGAAGGTGAATCAAAAAGGTTCAGACACAGATGAGACTGGGGTAGAGCTTTGGGCTCTAGAATGTTCAAAGGCTTCATAGGGAAAGAGCACAAACAAAAGTCATTGAGAAAGTGTAGCCAGGGGAAAGGAGGTCACCAGGTGATCAAGTGGTCCCTCAAGTCTAAAGAATAAAATATTTGGGGCCCTCCCTGGTGGTGCAGGGGGTTAAAGCACAGCACTAAGAAGCTTAAGCCACTTCCGCATGAGTTTGATCCCCACCTGCCCGGGAGGTGACCCACATGGCGCGGCAGACCTCTCCTGACCCACCCACTGCTCCCCTCAGCAGTGTACTTTCTAGATCTGCCTGGTGAATCCTCTCACCCTCTGCATCTCTGGCCTGTACCCCAGTTCTGTATGAATAAATAAATAAATCTTAAAAAAAAAGAATAAAATGTTTGAAGGAAGAGTGTTCAAGCTCTTCTGTGGAAGGAGAAGGAACTTCCACGACTTCAAGGGTCTAAACAACCCTTATAAAGCCCTCCTGGGGGGCACCCACAGGGCAATACCCACTGAGATGAAATTCCAGTAGGAGGCAAAAAAGTAGGGACAGTGAGAAGACACATGCCTGGGAAGCTGCAGCAGAGATAGAGACAAGTCCCTGAAACAGTCTCAGATGCAAAGAAGATCTTGCTTTTTAAGAGGATTAATAGCAAGCTATGTCTGTATTTTCATGGTGAAAATCATTCCATCACAGAAACTGATCGCAGAGAGAATGTGATGAGCACGTCTGAGACAGTGAGAGGAAACAGCTCTCAGAGGTGACCTCCACCAAGCAGGACAGCGCTATCCAGGAGCAAAGGGGTGCAAAAGCCCTGAGGGAGCTGAGGGAGCTGGTCTTCAGACACCTGCAGCAGGAAGGCGCTGTGGAGACAGGTGACATCCCTTAGCGCGGGAAACATCAAGTGAGTTATCCACTCAGGCATGGAGGGAAAGGAAAAGTTGGCACTTTAAGGGAAAGAAGAGTTAGGAAGTAACTGTCTCTGACGGTGAAAAGTTCACTTGCTGGGTGGAAGGTAGCTACCATATAGGACTGGAGAACAGTTGTTTAAGGGTTTCCATCACAATTTGATTTTTAATTTTGCGTATTGATTTATTTTTAGGCTATAGACAGCAGACATTTATGGTTCTGGAGGTTGGGAAGTCACAATTTGATTTTTTTTAAATGCCGTAACATTTATACACAGTTGGCATCTGAATTAAGGGTAGCCTTGCTGGGGACGGTACCCTAAAAATGTGTGGATTCTGTGCTAATCCTGGGTAGTTAGTGCCAGGATGCCCTGAAGTATACTGGTGATATCAGAATACCTATCAAGTTGTGCAGAACATTAACACATGCTTGGAGAAGAACTCCAGAAGACAGGCTATGTATCAAGGAGTCAACATTATAACAGGGGCTACAAATCTCGGAATTATTCTCATGAGGCTGATGAGTAGCTTAAATAGGTTAAAGTGGGGATAATAAAAGTTATTGCTTCTTTCTTTTTGGTATCTTTTAGAGATACGAGATAAAAAAAGCCATGGAGAATGAAACAATGGAGAAAACGACAATTGCAATACGTAAAAATGATCGATTTCAGGTGTGCCACACAGTCAGTACCTGTAAGTCGTTGGGCTGACATTGATTTTCCGTGGGACACTGCAGGACTCGAATTTGTTAGCCAAGGTGACGTTGTTCCCAAAAAGGCAGTAACGGGGCATTTTAACTCCGACTACTCCAGCAAACACCGAGCCGGAGTGCAATCCGATTCGCATCTGAAACACAGAGTGACCCAATGTCCCGGGTCCCTGAGAACGCTCCTCGCATCGTCAGGGGGTAGGGAAATGCCCAGTCTACAGTAGTTCACCCCTCCCCCGCACACAGGCACAGCACTCCTCCAGCCTCCAGCCCTCCAGACAAAGCCCTGCAGTGCCTCACATTCAGTTGTAAATAAGGAGCTGGGTATTGGCCCCACCTGAGAAATCCTCTCCCTCCCAGAATCTGAAGTGTCTCCCTGCAGAAGGCAGGCCTCCCCTGGAAGCCCGAGGCCTCCCCTGGAAGCCCGAGGCCTCCCCTGGATGCCCGAGGCCTCCCCTGGAAGCCCGAGGCCTCCCCTGGATGCCCGAGGCCTCCCCTGGATGCCCGAGGCCTCCCCTGGATGCCCGAGGCCTCCCCGGCTCTATCTTTTTGGCCTGCAGGTTCCTTCCAGCTGAAATCACTCAATCAAGGCCCTTTAGAACTTCTACAACTCTCAACTACCTGGGAGAATGTCATTTGGGGATCTGATACAGAATAAGGGATAGGATGAGAAATCATCTTTCTCTCTGAATAGTCTACTTGCAGGGTAAAGGCCTAAGGACAGAGCATTCTGCTCCTTGCCCTGTGAAGCACTCGCCATCTTATCTGGGATGCATCAGGCCCCTGTGCGGGTTTTAAGCTCAGTATATATTCTTTGATTCTACATTTCGTTCTCTGCGCCCTGGGAGGTAGTCTTCCTGTATGCACAAAATTTAATTTCAGTGTTTTTCTTCTACAAATCGGTCTGATGTTAATTGGATAATTTGACCAGCCAGAGATGAACCCAGGGGAATAGGAAGAGATTTCCCCTCCTCCCCCACAGTGTGTGACATAAATCATCTTTATATGCTGATCTTCAATACCTGAAACAGGCTGTGGGCTGTTTATGTGAATCCATTCTATCAGTCTAATGAGACAGACAAAATTCCCAGGAGCTTTTTCCCAAAAAAAGCTCAGAGAGGGGCAAAGAGCGCCCTTGGGAACAGAAGCGTGGGCTTCTCAGTATTTTGCTTTGAGAGACCTTTATGCAGAACACTACCTCTGCTATTCAAATGACTAACCAGTAGAGGAAGAAAGTGTAATATTTAAGCAGAAAATGACAAAGGAAGCTGAGAGCTGAAATTAAATTTTGTGTATGCAGGAAGTAGGTTAGCCCTGGGTAGTAAGGGCTACAATACACACACTTTCGTGGCGAGCGTATGGACCACGGGAAAGTGTATTGTACCATAGAAGGGGCAGTTTGGCGTGTTTGGGGGAAGAGTTCAGGCATTCTGGAAGGAATCAATGATCTGGAGAGCCACTGACACAATATTTTAAGCTGGGGTCTTCTAGAAGACATGAAGTCTTACAGGGTGCACAGATTTTAAAATTGCTGCTGTTGCAAAAAAAAAAAAAGTTCAAGTAGGGATGGTTTCAGTGGAAATCAGACATCAAGTTCATTGTTTTCAAGTTCAATGTACAACTGATGATTTAAAAAAAATTATTAAATAAATGTATTTTAAACAAAGGCCAAGTAGTCAGCAACTGAGACATAATTTAGAATTCAGAGGACTTTGATGCTGCCTCTTTTAATGTCATTTCAGTTATCTGCCAGAAACTTTGTAGAATTATTTTTTTCATACAACATCAAACCATGCATTCTGCAAAATTCCCCAATAAAAGCATTGTACTATAAATCAGAGGTTTCCATTCTGAGCCGAACTCTGCTGATAAATGGCAATTTTACTTTCTTCTTCTTTGTTCATCTATATAATACAAGATTTGGTTAATTTTAAAGTCCTTTCTTAGTCACAGTTTCACTTGTCTTAACAAAAATGGTATGTCATTATTACATTTGGCTTTTTCCTCTTTAGAACATGGTTTTGCATATATTACAAATGAGTAATGTAAACAAACCATAAATGATGAAAAAAGACTACTGCTGCCTGAATTATCAGCCACAACTGTATGTAGCACGTTTATGTTGAGAAGGCCTGGCTCTCCTTCAACACACTTCTGGTTCAGCCAACTTCTGCGTACTCATCCATTCTAGCTTTTTCTGTGATCAACTGAACACAGAGTTTTTACTTTTCAAGCTCATAGTCAATATGAATAAATGCAGCTCCCTAAAAAAATTCCCAAAAAGGAACATCACCCAATTCTCTCCCTTCTCCAGCTCTGAATCTCATTCTCAGAAACTTCTCATCAGGGGTCTTTTCAAACACCGGAAACACTTTTCAAACCCCGGAAGTTTGTCAGCAGTTACCTTGCACTTATTGACTTTCCCTCTGTCTTTACTGCACTAGACACCTGCAGCTTAGAAGTCTAAGTGGGCAGAGTCAGTGAGGAAATCAGTTGGAATAAGGTACTACATGATTTGCACATATGACAATTTGGAGGAAGAGTATAAAAAGAAAAGTAAGTAAATATTTCCTGTTCTTTTCATTTTGATTCTATGGGGTTGGGGTAGCAGGGTAAGAAATGGCAAAGGTTTTGAAGCCAGACAGACTTGACTCCAACTTCTGACCTGGGAGAGCCCCTTATCCATCAGTGAATTGTGGGTTCCTCCTTATAATGCTGTTACACAGATAAAGTGAGGCAACGGTTAAGTCTCAATATGCTCCTTCTAACACACGTTGATATTCTCTATTAAAAATACTCCTCACGGCCCTCCCTGGTGGCACAGCGGGTTAAAGCACAGCACTGAGAAGCTAAAGCCACTTCCGCATGAGTTCGATTCCCGCCTGCCCTGGAGGTGACCACATGGCGTGGCAGACCTCTCCTGACCTGCCCGCTGCTCCCCTCAGCAGTGTACTTTGTAGATCTGCCTGTTCTGCTCCCCACTCTCTCTGGTGAAGCCTCTCACCGCCTCTGGCCTGTACCCCAGTTCTGTATGAACAAATAAATAAATCTTAAAAAAAAAAATACTCCTCACTCGTACATCTGTGATACTTCATGGGTGATTCTGAAAGTCATCGGTCTTTCCCAGGACCTGGGAAAGGTGTTTAATCCCCATTTTAAAGGTCATTACAGCTAAACTGGTATTACCCAGATGATTATCTCTGAAACTGGTATAAATACTTCTTCCATTTATGAAACTAAATCTACATTTCTACAAATGTAGAATTTTCACAACCCCGCTGCCACAAATATATGCCTTTTTAATTACAAAATTCACTTATTTGGAAATAACTAGTTCTATTGTTAATCCAGATATTTCAAGATTCAATTTGATGCTATGAGGACCAGTGAGAGAGGCATAATTCCCCTCTTCGGGAAGGTATAATAATAGAAATGAAGTCTAGAAAAGTCAAATAGTGCAGTGTTTTTAAAATACAATCGCTGATTATTCCACACCCTTCCTGCTGAGACGTGGGGTCTAACTGTCCTTCCCTCTGTACAGGCTTATGGTTGTTTTGACCAACAGATTATATTGGCAATGTCCCTGTGTGACTCCTAAGGCTGGGTCCAAACAGGAACGTGTGGTGCAGGCACATAGGCCTCCATGTGAGACATGTTGTGGCTGAGAGGCTGCTGTACTGGGGCACTATGGGTAAGCAATTGAGCAGACAGCCCTATAGAGCTCAACCTTCCCGTAGTCTCCCACAAGGGCTCAGGCACATAAGTGACGCAGCCATCTTGGGACGGTTCTCTTGTTCCAAGTGGTGCAACCCCAACCATTCCCAATGCCCTCAAGCATTCCATCATTCCAGCTCAGGTCCCTAATATTGTAGAGTGAAGATAATGCATCCTTGCTAGGCTTCGTCCAAATTCCTGAGGCACAGAATGCTGGCATAATGAAAGGTTTGTGGTTTTATGCCACTAAAATTAGGGAAGTGTGTCAACAACAATTTGTATCTGGAACAACAGCTGACTTTGAAAACAACTGAGAAGACTTAGACGTATGGTTCCCATTAAGATTGAAGAGAACCAAGGATAATTTCGAGATGTTACAGTTTTGCTTTTTCACCAATTTTTTTTTTCTTCTGGTATGTCTTATAACATACCAGGGAGTATTTTATATTTATTCAAAGGTTCAATTCTGAATACATATTGAAGACTGCTTTAGAAAAATTAAATGATAGGTTCACTACACGTGGGATGATTCAAGATCATCTACCAATGCCTAGCATGTTAATTTATTTTCTCTTCTGCAAGACATTATTCTGGGATCTGGTTCATCCAGACGTTTTGGTATGTAATGTGCCTTGGAAAACATTAATGGATTAGTAGTCAACATTCACCGGAGTGTAATGTCCTCCCCTGCAGTCTCTGGGAAACAAACAAAAATTACATATTTCATTCTCCCATGGCATTTCTAGATGCGTTTAGGTGTGGGGAATCACACACATTTGCATGAGCTTTGGAAACCAGGATTCCTGCCAGGACTGCACTTCTGGTGCCTCAAAGAGCAACAGGCTGCTCAGGCTTCTGCACTTCTATGCCACGCTCAACAGGGAGTTGAGTTCCAGTCGCTCATTTTGTGAGCATCCTGAAAAGGGATCAGCATGGTGCTGATTCAAATTACAGCAGGTGTTGCTTTGCCCTGTAGTCAGTGACACAGAGAGCAGCTTTTGGGGCACAGCACCTCCCGGCTTCCTGTGGTGTCAGCTTCTAGATGTAGAAAAAGCAACATTCTAGAGTCTGGCTTTGGGAGCCATTTTCTGGAGCTCAACTCTTAAATGGATTCTTGCATCCTCACAATGATAGTGTAAGACTTTAAGTACCCTGTAGTCAAAGACTTCCTGCTAACCAAGTAGAGATTTTGCTCTCTGCAATGAAACCCTGATGATACACTGCTCTTTGGGAAACAGCTCATAAACAAACACTTCCTCTCCTGAGAGGTCCTGGCAGATACACAACCACCTTACCTTGAGAGGCTCTCCATGCGGAGACATGACTTCATTAGAGAGCTCCATCATCTTCAGGGCCATCAGTGCGATCTGGACAGCGTGGGTGTCACTTTCTCTGTGCAATCCCCCAGCCACACAGTACGCATCACCTATGGTCTCCACCTGCACATAACACACCCTCTATGTTACAAATGAAAGCTCAGGAAGAATCTCAGCATCGTACAGTGGAACTTAACTCAGATAGCAGAAATCTCAGTGTTCAGGCCCTGTGGGAAGTCAGAGTAAAGCAGATCCTCTCAGAAATGGCTTTCCCTTCCTGGGAAAGCACAAGTTTGGAGACCTCACATCAGGACTTAGTGACTTACATCACCTCAGCATAAAATGTTTAGCACATTCACCGATCAACGAGAATGGTATGGACTATATGTAAGAACATGAAATGTAAAACTAAGACATTCTAATTTTCAGAAAGACTTTGAGGGTCCGCAGTGCTATGCTGAATGTCTATATGGATACCAACTACATAGTGTAGAAGCCAGGATGTCCATTCAGGACAATGGTGCCTGGGAGATTAACTGAAATAAGCTACTTATACAAATTCCAGCTATCAGTCATGGTTGGTGCTGCCGCCATTAGTGATTTTTTTTTAAATATTTATTTATTTATGCATACAGAACTGGGGTTCAGGCCAAGGTGTGGGGGTTGAGAGGACCCACCAGAGACAGAGTGGGGAGCAGAACAGGCAGAAATGAAGAACACTGCTGAGGGGAGCAGCGGGCGGGTCAGGGGAGGTCTGCTGTGCCATGTGGGTCACCTTAGGGGGCGGGGATCGAACTCATGCTGAAATGGTTTTAGCGTCTTAGTGTTGTGCTTTAACCCGGGAGGGCCTGCCATTGGTGATTTTATCTGTCTGTGGCACTGACTGTAGAAAGCTACCATTACTTTAAATCTGCCAAATTTTAGTAGTTAGGTGCACTTTTCTTTGCTGAATATTTACTGTGACTTTTCAGATGATATCACCCTTCCTATGCAAAGCCTTGCATGTGGGGGGAAGGCGAGGAAGGGCATGAAAGAAGGAGGAAACATGGCAGCAGTTCCTCATTTCACACAGACTGCACGCTGATGCCTTCAAAGCCCTTAACCCCCTTGACCCGCCCACTAATTCCTGACATTATTTCCTCACGTTCTCTCTTGTTCACTTTGTTCCAGTCCCTCAGACATAACAAACATGCTCCTACTTTCTACTCAAAGTCATTCTTCGAACCTTCCTGTGAAAAACCACTTGGCCTGCCCTTTGTCTCCCTGAGCAGCTGCTAAAACGTCACCATAGAAGGAGCCAGTCCTGACCACTCTCCATAAAGGAGCAGCTACACCTTTTGCCCTTTGCCTGCTACTTGTTTTAGAATAAATAAAAGAAATAATAAATAAAATGTTTTATTTTCTTCCAGAATACTGCACCAACAGAAGCACTACAAATTAACTTATTTTTATGGCCCTTCCCTCCCCCAAGTAGAATATAATTTCTCTGAGTTTATTTTACTGACTCTTATCTCGTCAGTGCCTGGGAGGAGTGTCCAGTGTGGTCCATGGTTACTGGACAATGAGGAACTTACAGCAACACTCCCATAGTTTGCCCTCAACCGTGGGTACACATCACAGGTATCCAATCAATGTGGCTGCCTGGGCTGTCTCCCTCCGGGAGGTGGTACCCTTACTCCCACTTGGAGCTGGTGCCTGCAGCAGCACTGGCTGGTTGGAGTGCAGCCAGCCTCCATCATGCCTCTGCAAATCTGGCCTTTGTCAGCACCAGGCATTTTCTCCCCCTGCGTATGAACGCTTCTCAGCGGAGTCCGTCCACCCATGTTGGTAAGTGCTGGATGATCTGTCAAGATTTGTTGTAACAATGAATAAATGGAAATGAAGATAAATACAAAAATAAGCAAAAGATTCAAACACAGAAAGAAGGGGAGATGAAATCCCCAGTGCAACAGGCTTGGAGTACAGAAGCTGGCCCCGCCTCGGAAGGTGTCTCACTCCCCCCGACAATGCAGATACCTTCCCTCTGTCTCAGGTGTATCCTATGGCTACCTCCCTTTCTGATTACAGCTGTCCCCAGGTATGTTCCAGCACAATCAGAAGTGAAGAGAACGTGGAATCAGGACAGGCTTGAGATGTGCTGGGTTAGTGAGGGCCTCGGGGCTCCCACCTCCCCACCCCCTGGGAGAAGCAGAGATTGTGACTACTGGACACCCCTGCTTCTGCAGAGCAGTCACAGCTGCTGGCGAGGAAGAGCTTGACTTCCCTCTCTTCCCTCTCATGAGGCCGAGAGGAGACACGCTCAGGATGGAAACTATCTACAGATAAATATAGTAAGTTCCCAAGAGGCCATCAAGTTTTACTGAAGCCAATTATTTTATCTGTCATATTACATAGCCTTCTTTTTTTCCCAAAGGAATTACTGCTCTGTCTGGAATTTCCTGTAGAAAATTGAAAAAGGAAGGTTTTACTTCAGGCATCTAGTTGGAACAAAGCAAGGGCTTATGTCTTCCCCTAAGTGCCAATTGTTGCCCCCTTACAAGTTGACTCATTTCATGTTGGATTAAGGTCTGAAATGCCAACTTGCTATGTGGCAGATTAAGAGAGAATTCAAGGCCTATCAATGCAAAGCATGTTTTTTTTTTTTTTCTTAATGCAAATATCTGAAAAAAAAGTTTGAAGTTTAAATAAGCAAAATGTGAAATCACCAGTTCTCTTATTGACATTACGTTTCAATATGTAAATTAGTATTGATACTATTTTTAAAAACAGTTAATTACAAAGGAACAGACAAAACCAAACCAAAAAGATATAGAAGTCTCATTGTAGAACTGAGACAGCTAGAGAGTGAGGGAAGGGGATGAAGAGGGTGGGGAGTGGGGCTGGGGTTTGGGGAAGGGTGAAGGGTGTTCAGGGAAGAAGAAAAGACGTAAGGAGGTGGTCTAGTTGAGGTGTGTGTGACAAATTACATTTGTGGAGGTGGGAATCTATAGCACTAAATTACTGTATTGTCAACCAACACTGCTTTCATAAGCAAAATAAATAACTTTTTCTGAGACAATTCTTGCATTGCCAGGGTCTGAAATGCGTCCTGCCACATGGCGGGCACTGGGTAAATCGTATTGTCCAATAAAGAGCACACATGATTTACCATAATATTTCCCATAGTCCTCTCCATGGAAAGCATGGGATACAATGCACATTATTCACTCTTATGAACTGTGGGGCTGGGCATTGCCTGTTTTAGAAATGAGAAAGAGTATTTAACATCCTCAGTTCAAAAAGTAAGGTAGAGAGCAAGACCTGAAAGCAGGCCCCCTCTTTCAGATACTCTGCCCCCACTCTCGCCATCGTAAAGCCTTCAGTAGCAGACTTGGGTTTCTGTTAGCCAGCCATGAAAACCATCAGGCTATCTCTGTTCTGAATTAATCCATGTAAAGATAATTCATATTTCACTCATGTTGCGTTACTTTCAAAGGTGCAAACCTGTCTTGCACATGTTACACTTAGAAGTATCTTATGCTTCCTAATTCAAGTTGGTTTTCATGGGCAGGGTTCTTCTTCTGTTCATTGACTTTTGACCTTTACCTTTCCAAGTGCTATACAGCATCCTCCACATAGTCCATCTACGTAGCACCCCCCACCCCCAAGCCCCTATTCTATGAGAAAACCCTGGCGATTCTTTCACAGCATGACAGTTTGCCCCTGAGCAGATCCAGAGCTATTTCTGGCTGCAGACCCCGACCTGGTTAATGCACTGCCTGCCCCAGGACGAGGCCAGCAGACCCTGGTGAGAAAGCCTTTCCTCTGTACTGTGACTCAGTCCTAGTGTAGTGCTTTCTCTCCGGGACTTTTGCTGGGGAGGGCGAGGGCCCTGCTCCACCCACCTTGTAGACATCCAGCTCTCCGCACTGCTGGTCAAAGCGCGTGTACAGGGCGTTGAGCATGGTGATGACCTGCAGGGGTGAGCACTGCGAGCAGATGGCCGTGAACCCCACGATGTCTGAGAAAAGCATGGTGACGTTATTGAACTTCTTGGCTTGCACGACCTGCCCTTGCCACAGCTGCTGCGCGACCTCACAGGGGAAGATAGAGCACAGAAGGTCAACAGTCTTCTTCTTCTCCTCCTCCAGGGCTTGGTGGGCTTGCTCAAGGGTGGCCTTCAGCTTGCCCAGTCTCTTCTTCAGGCCATCTTGGGCCCTGGCTTGTTCCCCTATCAAGACCACATCCCGCAGGGCATTGTGGATTGGGATGTCTGAGAGATAGAGCCCTCGCCCTGTAAAATCTTCCAATCTGTCCACACAGGGTGACCCTAAGAACAAGATGGTGCTGGATTCCACAATGTAGATCATTTGGCCTTTGAGGTCCATAACCTGTGAAACAAAGACAAACCAACTGTTGCAGGTCATTTAGTCGCCGACATCTTTTGAGACAAAAGGAGCGAAGGGGAGGTAGAGATTGTGACAAGCCCTTTGTATTTGAGCTCAGTTTTCTCTAAGTGCTGACCAAGAGCAAAGTGCTCTCTTATAGTCCAGTTTACTTTGCGCTCTAAAGCCCATAGAGATTTGAAGAATATAGTGGAATCCAGTCTGCATGGAAATCATGATTTTCAATGATCAATGCCCAAAAGCGTTGTCAGTGCTTTCTTACTACGTGCAGGCAGATGCATTCATTACTGTGCTGCTTCCATAATAGCAGCCACCAGGAGTGACTGTACCAGGGGAGCCCAGGAGAAGTGAAGCGTCATGTGATTGCCTGGGATCACAAGGTTCATTTGCATGAGAGGACAGATGTGTCCTTGTGTTCACTATAGCATGGCCTCAAAAGCAACTACAAGTCCTTCGGTAAGGGTCTGAGTAAGTCAAGGGGAGGACACCCCAAGACTTGGAAAGTGAAACAGACCTGTAGCTAGAGTCACAGGAGCATGCCCACAGTGTAGAGCTAAGTGACTTAAAAGTAAAATTATGAGTAGCAATTTTGTGGTTATAAAAAGTGTATGTAACTAGTGGTTTTGAATTTTTGCTGTATTGAAAGCTTCGCATTGGATCTACTTTCAAAACATGCAGCTGGATTATCTTTATGCTAAAGAGTAATTAATGAAGCTTAGTTTCATTTTGGGGAACAAACAATGGGTCTGAACACTCACTGCATTACAGCTTCTTTGTGAGCTTTGTACAAACAACTGTGGTTTAGCAAACTTTCTTTCCAAAGACTAACTAAGCACCAAAGTTTTCAACCCTGAAATGACAGAGTGCCCTCAACCCTTTCTGTCACAGCTTCTCCAACAAGTTATTGATTTTCCACGTCTATTAAATACTGATGCAAACCCACCACAATTGCCTCCTAAAAGAAACAAGTAGTTATTGTTTCTTTATAGTAGAACAGCATCACTTCTTATGCTCATTACGCCAACTATGGAATGACTGAATATGTATTTTATACACTTTACCAAATTAGTTCTAATGTACTCTAAAAGGATTTTAATGATCAGCTCTATTCAATGACTCTTGGTGAAGTAATGCATCAGGTAAATAAACAAATGGAAGTATTTCACAGAAAAGACTTTGCTTTACATGCATTCGACATTAAAGTTATATTAGCCTTTTAAACATGTTTTCTCCAAATAGTTGATTATTTTTACCTTTATGTTTCTAAACTCAAAGTATGAGTCTATTTCCCATTCCAAATGCTACGTATTTCTTACCCGTGAACATTTCTTAACTGAGTTGTCCCATCTTCTCACTCGGACCACAAACTGCATATTCAGCATCGTCATGATCCCACTGAAGGTTTGGCTGATTTTGGGGGTCAGAATTTCAAAGTACTCTTCAAAATGAGGCTTTCCTTGAAGGTCTCGCCTGTTCATCAGCCTTCGAATGCCATTACCAAATTGCAAGATGAGCATATCTTTGTCAAACATGAAGTGGAATGGAAAGGTCTTGCAGAAGAGAGAAGCGGGGATCACCAGCGAGGACTGAGGCTTGCCGGGGGGCAGAGAGGGCTGGGTGCTTTTGATGTGAACAGAGTACAGCAAATAAGGCTGATTGGCAAACTCGCCACCATCACTAGGGAAGCGGGAGGTCATTAATGACACTTGCACTTCAGTTTCATACAATATGTGAGCAGCTGCCTTAATGACGCCTGGAAGAATCAGGGATGTGATTTTCTTAGGAAAGAAATAGTAAACGTTCAAGAAATCCTGGTCCTTATCCAGGCACAGAATGGACGCATCCTCAAGCCTGCCTCTCTTTTCTGCTTCTTGGCAGTGGCTACTCTGTTTCAGAAGGGTGCTGAAGCTGTTCAAAAAATCTTTGAGGGTTCCTCCAACCACCCCTAGAATGTGTTCGTCTTCCTCATAACATATTTTAAAAAGCTCTTCACCGAGGGATTCCTTGACGTTCTCCACTGGAAGTCCTGCAAGTACACAACATGTCTTCTGCCACATCATCCTGCTTGTGTTGTGTTCCTACCACTATTTTTAACATTGCTTACTTTGATTATTCAGTTTCCTTTATAGCTGGTACAAAGAGTTCCAGCCAAATGAACCACCTATATTCAAATGAGCTACAAAGATTAGTGTCTAAAGTTCTGACCGCTCCCCATAAAAATTCCAAATCAGTAATTAAAAAGAACGCACACGATTTCATCTCCCTTACAGTTAACATTGCAGAAACGACTGGGCATCCAGGATCAGCATGCTCCTTCACGGGGGTGCAGTACATTGAGGAAAGATCACCCTCCCCTTCCAGCACCCCCCGCAATATCAGCGTCAGACACAGGCAGTCATTTAAAATCAGTGACTGTGAAGCTGCATGTTGTTACTTTTTTAAGACAGTGGATCAAGTCATTTTTAAGCAAAATAATTTTACTGTTTGATGGAACTAGAATGAATATTTGTGTGGAATAGTTTATTTCCTGTTTCCAACTTCTCCTTCCCTATCTTTATTTAAACTTTGTGTCCCAGTTTTCTCACATGGGACACAGTCCCCCTTCACTGTGCTGTTCCTATGTGCAGGGATGATATTTCGATAGAGCCTGAGTCCTAGTGTAAGTTGTCATCACCACCAGCAGCAGCAGCAACTCCAGGTCTAACTTGCTGGTGCATACACTCACTTTGAAAAGGACAGTGTACTAAAGTTCCTTCTCTAACTTTCCCCCCAAACTAATTATTAACATGAGAGTACTATTAGCCCTTTGCCCAGAATAGCTCCCAATTTTTGCAACAATTCTTATTTTTATTCTCTCTCTTCTCTTATGAACAACAACAACAAAAATTCTCTATTTTACTTTGGGTATAATTTTTCATGCATCAAGAAACAGTTAAAGTCAACACCAAAGCTTGTAAATGTCTATGAGTCTGCTCCCATACAGTCTTTGCTACATCTCAGCAAATAAATATTACAAGGAGAGGAAATGTTTTAGGTTCAATAACATGTATAAGAAAATAAGAAAAGTTATCTTTGATGGGAGCAACATGAGATATCGAACACTTTACTCTGGAAGTGACCAGCATATAAATATCGGCATTTAGGAGCAATAGTGATAAATATCGTAGTTCTACAGGTAAATATTTTCTACAACTAGAAAATATAAGTTTGTAGATAAATAGTGTGTCTACAATTATGACAACTTCCTCTTGTGCGCATACTGAAGTAATTTTGTTACCTGCTGCAACTGCTTGGTCAACAATTATTTTTTCAATGTCTTCTCGTTCCAAAGATTTCCTGAAAACATTTCAATATATGAAATTATAAACTGAAAATGGAATGTTATCACTTCAGATGATAACATATAGAAATCATGGAAAATACTTTAAATTACCTTTCAATACAGTCAACACTTCACATTCATAAGAAAAAAGCAGTCATAGGCACAACCCAGAACTAAGTTTGAAAACTGCGTAACATGAAAAATACCGAGTATCTCATCTCTTTGATTAACATTACCTTTTAAATTAACTTTACTGAGGCTTACACTCAAAAAGATTCACACCAGCAAGGAATCAAGAGTATGAAATGGCCGAAAGGGACTGGCAATTAGTCATCTCAGAATGAACTTTCTGATAACCCAACAACAAAAAAAAACAACAACTATATACTGACTGATTTCACTTTTAAGAATCACTATTTCTTCCTAGAGCAAATACATATTTTGCTAAATGATTTTTACTCTATATATTTAACTTTCAGACAGCATTATGTTAAAATTTTATTCTTTGTATAAAAGTTAGGGGAAAAAAATCATGCTTTATTCCATTATTAGTTTCTATAGAACAGAAGTTGAATACAATATAACAGTATATATTTGAAATGACAGAAGGTTTTGGTAATTTCAGCTGGGCAACTTGTTTGCTATTTCTTGGTGATTTCTGATGACTAGTTATGATCAAATTTGCCAATCTACTGAAGCAGATTAGACAACATCCAAGATTTGTTTGTGGTTCAATCTGCCATTACACAAACTAAGTTTATGAATAGGCATTAGTCTAAAATTTTCAATGAATTTCATAATATATAATGTACATGTTTTGAAGAGAAAATAATTTCAAGAAGGAAAATTGCTCTCAATCCACTACTTTATCACATGAAGGTACATTGCTTATAACTATTTAAAAACTAGGTAGAATAATGTTCTTATTTAAATTGGCTGAGATCATTATATGGTATTATAGTTTGACTCCAGAAATTCCCAGACTCTTTGGTATGTACTTTATGTTAACTCATTTTCAGATGTGCTTCTTTTATCTCATTAGTGCACCTTCTATTTTTGTTTCTAATGAATGTGCTCGGAGAGCTCTAATTCTGCCACTTCCCAGCACCCATGGCAGGATGTGAGAAAGATTAGCTGCTCCAAAAAGAACATGGAACAAACAAGTGAAGGTATGTACATGCCACACCACACAAACATACATTCATACACACCTGGCGTTCACACAAAGGATGATGTAATCAAAAAAAATCCCAGAGAACAAAACAAAGCCAAAGCTTTCTGCAACCAACTCAGGGAAACACCATTATGACTGTACTGAAACTCATTCACTTAATAAAAGGAGAGGCCTAAGACCTTCACTTAGGGTTGAGTGTATTTGTCTTTGCAAAAAGGAGTTAAGATCTGTTCAGTGGCTGGCACTCTGAGAGTGGTAGGTGGGACAGCTGACTTGCCTACAGGAAAATAGAATTAAAAAACAAAACAAAACCCAGAAACAGTTTATCCATGAGCAAAAATTGCAAAGCAGAGTAATGCATTTAGTGTATCAGCAGGGAATCAATGGAAATCAGGAATCCTTACTTTATCTCAACAACTGGATAATGATCTTAAGACAAAAGGAATGGTCAGCTCTTGGGGAAATGAGGACAGGGGTAAACGATTTATCAAAGTTTCCAAATAAAACGAGGGTTGTCTGTTTTTTTAATTTTGAGATTTTTAGAAGCGATACTCTGCTGGGATCACATCTGACTACATGTCTGCATCAGACTTAGAGACATTTCAGAACACAAAACCCTGAGAAGAGATGTTGAGTAAGCAAGGCTACCCAAGGCCTCCGCAGACAGACACAGCAGCCAGGCCGCTGAGACTCTGATTGTATTATCGCTGACTGAGAATTCAGGCAGAGGCTTTCTGGAAAACTTTCCATATGACTCCTGGAAACAAAGCTTCTGTCAGAATCAGAGACTCACACCCTCTCGTTCTGGATCCATTCATGACCCTTTCTTGACTTGCCTGCTTCCTGCATTCTGAGCCAGTTCGCCAGCCAGGAAAATTAAGCATAGTTAATCTACAGAGCAGATTATTTAGTCATGAGTAACAGACAGAAGAATGGATTTATAAAATATTGTTGACAATGCTATTAGTGGTTTGCCAAACTTCAATATTCAGTTCTGCAAATTTGATTTCATTTATTCTATCATTCACACGTGAAATAATTCTCGAGCTTTCCATAAATTATAAACAATGCCACGCAAGTTATCCACCCACAGTAAGTGCAAACATCTATCTGAAAAATGAACTAATCAAATTTTTAAGAAATTGCCTTATTTAGTCAGCCTCTGTTGAAAACTTTTTTAAAGAACATTTTAAAGACAAAACACAAGAGAAAAGTATAAATGGAACTAAAATTCAGTCCGTGCCTATCAGCATAACCAAGTTGGTTATGAAAATACTAAAATATTCCCCTAAGGATTAACAAATATGCCTTATCTGTTGTTAAATATTTTAGAAATTCCCCTGTGTAGAGAAGATTACTTCTTATGGGAGCCTCAATACATGGCAACATATTGAAATCATGGCCTGAGAAACAGGAGCTTGAGATTCAGTTCTGCCTTTCCTGGAAGTGCTCTAGGATAACGCTTTACATAAATGCCAGCTAAGGGCCGTGTAAATGTGCAAAAGCAGACTAGTAGCAGCTAAAACACTAGCCCAGCTTCTGCCATACCACAATGAACCAAAAGCACTGTGGTATTTTCAGTAAGTGTTGGCTATTAGGAATAGTATTGGTGAGGTTGACAGTAGGCATACATAAGTAAAGTGGGTCAATTTACCTGTTTTCGTTGATTTTATGTCTTGCCAGTGTTCTCTGAAGAGCAAGGTTCAACCGCTCAAACTGAAAATTGAAAAGAAAAGTTGTAAATATTCCCTGAAAAGTTAATTCAAGTTATATATTTAAAAGTCATCCTGAAAGCTTTTTAAGAAGCAGCAGAGATGTTAGTACTTGAATGATAGGTGTGGTAAATTCACACTTTGCAAACAAGGATTGATTTTCTATGAATTTTTCAAACGTAGCAAGAAATGGGAGCTCAGACTCCTCTGAGTTTGGCTATGGGTTATGACCACAAGTGGGTGGTCTCTCTGACAGCCACGAAACAAGTCAGGCTGAGGTGAACCCCAATAAAAGACTCCGCTTTGGCAATGTCAGGTATTCCATGACAGAATCATGGGCACCACTAACTCTGGGTCAAGAAGTCCCTTTGGATGTTCTGCCAATACTTCCAGCATGGCACACCAAGGACTCTGGATTGCTCACTGAAACTCTAGGGGAAAGATGCTATTATTCTTTCCATTTTAAGATAAGGAAGCTGAGGCTAAGAGGAGATAAACAGTTGCCCGAAGTCATAAAGTCCATTAACGTGCAGGAACCTTCTGGAAAGAATTCAAGATCTCAAGCATTTTAAGATTAAATAGAACTGAAGAAAATGATCCTTAAAAAAAAAAAAAAAGTCTATGTTTCCAGGAATATTCCATACCTACTATAACACTGGAAGTGAAGTCAAGTCTGCTTTTACAGTTTTCCAAATATTAGTAAAAACGCCAAAGAGCAAGAACTCACTTCTGGGAAAATCAGCTTGCAAATGCTTTCTGCCAAAGTGTGGAGATAGACTCGGCTCCGGCTGGTCTTCCTTTGAGGACGGTTTCCTTGGGCATTCTTCTCAGGCAGGTCCTGACAGATGGGGACAGTTGTCTCACAGCTCTCCGAGCTCCCTGCTACTTCCTCAGAGGACTCTCTAGGGGCCTGCCCCACTGCCATTAAGGAGAACGGGCAGTCTCCAGTGATCTTGAGATCCTTCAGCTTCGTGCAGAACATGATGGCGGGCTCTCTCTCCTGAGCAGGTCTCCTCCTGGGAAGCTGTTCTTATGTGGCACTGGCAAAGAGAAGCCACCCTCAGATCAAGGACACTGGAAATGTGGGGTGACCCTAGGCAACAGAAAGAACAGGAAGAGGTATAATTCTAATGCCCATGAAAACAGAAAAAGACAGGTGTGAGAAAGGAAGAGCAACCATGTTATTTTCAAGGAAAAAAACAATGCTGGAGAAAGGTCAATTATACAATGGATGGCACATTAAGGATGATCTTTATTTAATATGTTCTGCATTTCAGTAGACAGGCAAAATGCTTGCCTTTTTTTAGTATTTTTCAAATGGAGTATAGTTTTGTCCAAAATATCTTTAACCTAAACTACTGATTTTTGTGTTTTATGATTCCTCATAAATAGAACACTCTGATTTCATGACAGAAGCTAAGTTTAAATCTGTGTTTTATTAGTGTTAATATCATGACATT